TTTTTTTTTTTTTTCAGTGGCCCTAATCCTCTTCCGTATGCAATAGTCTATACTGCTGTAGGATTTCCTCCGCAGAGGATGCAATGCCATATTTTCCATCTGGAGGCACTTTCCTCTGCATCCAACAGGAACAATGTTCTACTGAGCAGAACCCAGATGGAGCTTCACAGCTGAAAAGCTCCAAACGATCCCTTTACCAGCAGTTTCAAGCCTTTCAGTACAAACACCTTTAGATGATCTCCTTCTGACAAGTGGAACAGCTGGCCAACAGAAGCAGTCCGGCGTCTGTCCTCAGAGGAGCTCATACTCTCTTTGACTTCCATCAGAGGGATTTCCTCTTCTCCGTACCCTTTGTTACTCGACAGCAGCTTCACATGGAAAAACTCCATGACTTCCTCCTCCTTCTTTTCCTCACAGGCTAACAAAAAACGAAAGTAGACGAAGTAATAACCCGGTGCGGGGATCACGATGGCTCTGCTGTCGCTGTTGTAGTCGTTTATGTTGTTTATGGTCTCCCCTGGTTCCCATTCCAGTACAGGTCCAGGTATCTCACTGAAATGAAGCCCTGCAGAACAAAAGACAAGCAGTGCTGTTAGGACCTAAAGCACAGACGAGAAAAACGACACAACGGTTGGTGTTTAGTTCAGCAGCAAATGATTACACTGGAAAAAAATCGAAATCTAGATACCGGTAAGTCATTTTTTCTTAAAATAAGTGAATTTGTTGTTGAATTGAGGAGGTAAAAGAGACATTTTGCGAATGGAACAAGACTATTTACACTTAAAATAAGAGAACACAATTGCATTCACTTATTTCAAGTGAATTTTATCTAAATATCGAATTTTAAGAGTAAAAATACAAATTTCATTTACCTACTCAAATTAAGGGTAATTACACTTAATTTAAGAACTTTTTACTTATTTCTAGGTCGTTTTTCCAGTGTATCTTTAGCAGCGAAGCTGTAAATGACACAATTTAAAATGTTTCTTACAAAGAAATATTAAAATGTGAAATATCACCTCCTTTATTTTTGTAAATTTGTAACGCTTTACATTTTACTGTGTTTTGAGGGACTTTATTTTAAAACTACCGTACGTGGGTTTTAGTTAGTGGCTACCGACGAGATACAGAGAAGAAGAGGCCGAGATTGAAACGTATTAAAAGTAATATGTCATGGTTTTGGTTATGTTGTGATTTACTTTGCTCCTTGTTTTCTAGTTTTATTGGTTTAATTCCTATTTTGTTGTAGTTTCTAGATTTATGTTTTGAGGTTGTTTTCCTCTGTTGCCCTCTTGTTTGTGTTCCTTTCCTCTTGAGTGGAGTGTTTCTCTATTTCTTCTGGAGCGCTGCAGATGGGAACCAACCCAAATGGACCCAGCAGAGCCCAGTCTGGACACCCTGAGGGGTTTTTTCATCAATTTAGGCAATACTCTGGACCTAATATCCAACCTAACACCACCTTGGAAGAGGGTGAGTGCAACTAGCCAACTAAAACAGAAACCTGACAGGACCCCCCCACTCAAGGGTGGATTCCAGACGCCAAATTAAAATAAAACCACTAACACTGGAAAATAAGGAGTAAAGCAAGACTGAATACTCAAACGAAAAACATAACAGAAACAGAAACCTGACATAATAAGCTTTATTTAAATGACTTGCACCCTCCGAAGCGGCACAATGTAAATGCTTATGGGATAAAATATGTCTATTTCTATAGCACCAATTCACAACATGTGTCATCTCAAGGGACTTCACAGTTCACCAGATCATCCAGTCAGATTGATTCAAAGTCTTCAATCCAAGGAAAACCAGTTGATTGCATCGACTCATTGATCCCTCACATTAAGAATGCTTCCAGCGAAAGTGGAGAGGAAAAACGGTTTGTGTTTAATGTGTGTTCATGTGTTTTGAGGTGATTTTCAGCGTGTGAAGAACTTTCTTCTGTATGTGTTAAGTCTCTGTAGCTTACGTACGTAAGTACGTAAGTACGTAATTGGCTACTAACGTAATACATTTTTTCTCCTGTGCTCTGCCTACCTTATGGTGGTTGGTTTAAAGGCTTATTGCTGGCAAGGCTATGACTCCAATAAACTAGAAATTCATCAGTGTTCACGATCTTTCAGGGGAGATGCTACAGAAGCTAAGCTGGTTAGACAGGAACCAATGGTGCGGTCCTGTTTCTCTGACCGTGACTAACTGGATGTGCTCTCCTCATCCTTTTACATGGGAGCTGGCTCGGAGCTCGTCTGCCTGGCTGTGTGTTTCTAACCTGACTGAAACTAACCTGAAACCTTCCGTTGAAGTAATTTTGGGAAGGGGAGAAAATACTGGTTAGCTGATTGGCCTATGTTGGTGAT